CAGAAAACTATATCCATTTCACACTCCCACCTGGACTTCGAGAGCAATTAGTTTTGAAGTTATGAGTCAATGAGCAGGGCAGCACACTGGGGAAGGGAGGCTTCGCTCTCTTCTGAGCAGTGATTCAGTTCTTGTGAATGCATTAGTAAGCTAGGTGTGGTCAATATGCTGGGAAAATTTTGGATTTTTTTTACTGGTGGAAATTCTGAAAAGTTTTTTTTCTTTCCAATATAGATGAAAATGTGAAAATGTTTTAAATGGTCTTGAAATCAAAATGCATTATTTTGGTTATATGAAGTAATGCAGAGCAGATACTTCTAATCTGTTTGATTAGAAGACGTTTAGCCTGGAGCAGAAAATAGGAGCTCTTACACTGATTTCCACAAAACAGAGGACAGCTAGTGAAATGCAGTTTAATTTTTACTAAAAGTCATCCAAAATGAAATATTTGGTCAGAAATCACAGCATACCAGTTCTAGGCAGAATTTCCTATAATGAAACTTTTCATTTTAATTTTCAAGTAACAGATTAGAGAATTTAAGAGAAATCAAACTGTTTTGCAGATTTTTGTTTTCTTTTACAATTATTTTTCATTGAAAAATCCTTTTGGCAGAAAATCCCCAGTCAGTTCTCTCTTGGCACAAGGAGTGAAACCTGTCCTGGGGAAGGGTATCCAGAGCCAAACTGCTGTACTGCCAGGTCTGTGCATCTCCCTACCACCACCACTGACCTTTGAGATAAGGAGTCCTTATTGCAAAGCCTTGTAACCCCTGGAGCCTCTCATATGCAGATATGAACACTCAGTCACTTCTCTTCCTGGTAGGGATTGTTCTAGGGAAAAACAAGAGGGAATAACATCTGCGTGAGGGTTATCCCTCTTGAACAGGTAATTATCAATGCCTGGAGGGAGTTTTTAAATCTTCAAGTTAAAATTGCATAGGAACAGTAGTGCATAAATGGGAGCTGTGAGTCAGACTGTATGTACCATTGCTGAAGGTACAATATAAATTTATTCTGTGATCATCATTTATACATTATATTTCATTTCATTGCAAGATGAAAGGTGCAAAAGAATTGGGTACTTAACTGACTGACTCTTTGAAGTTGATTTTATGGTGTGTCATTTCAGAAAGACTACATATGTCATGATTATAAACTGTCTGTTTTCATTTTATATATTTTTTCTCCCTGCCCTCCTCTTTAGTGGGAGATAGCATTTGTTCTGCTGCTGTAAGTGTTTTACCATTCTTATTATAGCTTTTGTGCACTTATATTTGGAAAGGGCAGGTATTTATATGATGATTTTATATAAAAAGTTTGCTTGCTATGCCTGTATAAATAAATACTTTTAGTCTAGAATTAATGAAAAAACAGTATTCTTTTTCCTATCATAGGAGGAATGACTCTATGTTTCATAACAGTCTGGAGTACCTCGTTTATTTTCAAAGTGGATTAAAGACTTAATTAAGTTTGTCAAAAGGATAGTATATACGTGAATATTCTCTTATTATTATAGTTGAAACACTGTTATTTCTTCTGTACATTATCTCTCACTAGTTGCAGAGAGATTTAAACCAGTGTCTTAATTAGCAAAGGTTGCAGACCCTCCAGAGGGTGGCTTAGACTTATGAAAAAATTTTAACATTGAGAACTCTTCAGAAAGCTTGATATTAGTTCAGAGGCAGCTGTGATTCACAGCACAATAAAGATAAACTGACCTTTTAAAGGCAAATATGTCTTGCTGATTGCTCTACAGAGCTAAATGAACAAAGGTCTAACCAAGATGTTACATAACCATCTCTTTTCTGAGCCTTGGCTGAGCCTGTAAGAGGGTATGTAGGCCAAGTAGATAATTACCCTTTGAACTTAACATGTTGTGAATGCTTATATATTGTCAGCACATTCTGCTGTCAGCACCCCCACTACAATTTTTCAGACACAAATATGGATTTGCCTAGTTTGTTCTTTCATTGTCTTTAGAAGTGGTGAAGAAAATGTCATATGATCAGGAAAGTAGGCAAGATTTGGAAAAACTAAGAATAATTAATTAACCTTATAAAAATAATAAATTTTATAACCGGCAAAGAAACAGGAATAGCAATTACAAAAACAATATCCTCATCTTTAACCATAAGCAGACATGATTCTTTTAAATTTTTAGAAAAAAATACAGGGATTCTTGGCAGCTGCTTTTACTCAAGGGTGGTGGGCTGCCTGAGATGGTGCTTGACGAGGCCTCACTAAGACAGCACATAGTACACAGTACATAGTCTAATAACTTGCATTCATGCTTCAGATGTTGCAGACACGGGCACATTCCTGCGTGTCTCTGAGGGGTGATAACCAGGCAAACAATGTCTAGTAAAGAACTGTTAATCCCACCTTATTCGTCCTCTTTTTCATTTTTGACATTCTTTAAGCAGAGTAGTCCTGATTGAAAATCTTTGGAGGGAAACAGCCTTCACACTCTGGGAATATTTTCCCTCTGTTTAGGTTCCTGAGTTCTGTGATTCAGGTATAAGGCTGACTTTAATGCCTAAGGCTAAATGCTCTGGTAAGTGTGCTCTGAACACCTTGGGCTGAGCACCGTGCACAGGGGACAGCATGTGCGTGGTGATACTCTTCCTTGGTCCTTGGCCAGGCAGTGAGAGACATGCGTTTAATGCCCTTTTAAGCCTGCTGTGATTGAAACTTCTCTCTTTCCTCCAAAAGAATTAGACCCTTTCCCTGTGAGCTACCAAAGGCAAGTGCATTGAGACAGCATTTTCCATCCTGCTTGTGAGACTGGAGTAGTGTGCACTCAGGAACACAAAAATCATAAGAAAAAATCAGAGAGGAAGGAGTAAGAGCCTGTAGCTCCTATCAGCTAAGCTGTGGAAGGGCAGGCATATCCTTCCACACAGTTTCTTCCACAGAAAGAGTTACACGTGTCAGAACACGTTGCTCGATTGAAACAACCCATGGTAAACCCAGCCCTCATGTTCTCAGATGAACCCAGACTAAGTCACTCAGCTCCTGCACAGAGGCAGAGCTGTGAGATACCCGGAAAAAAAGACAACTTCTGTTTCGGGACCTGTAGGATTGTTATTTCGGCAGGAGGGATGCAGGACTGTGCTTGTGTGCTATATTTTCACAGAAGTACTTCTTTTAAAGTCTTTTGTAAATCTAGCCAGAAATGACTTTGTTAAGCAAGTCATTGTAAAATCAGGCCTCCACATACCCAAATAATAGACTGTAGTTGAGGGCTTTTACATGAGAAAAGCGTTATGAAAGCAGACTTCAGAAGACTTTAGCTTTTCTTCCCATCTTAAGCCCCTATTGACTTTTTTTTCGTTATTAATCAGTCAAGTCCCTCTTTGCCTCTCACTTTTCTTTCCATTAGGCCTCGCAAAGTAATCAGTATTAAGAGTGTCTGTCAAAAAAAAAAAAGATAATTTTCCTTCTCTATGAAGGCTGTTATACATGATGGTGTTCAGGAGTTCTCAGTATGAAAATAAGATACTACCAAAATAAAGAAAGCAAATTAATGTCAAAGCAAATTAATGTCTTGGATAAAAAAACCAAAAAAAAACCAAAAAAAAACATTATTTGTGTTAGGTCTAGGGAGGGACTTGTGACCCAATACTCAAGAGACAAGAGAAGGCAGAATCAAGACTCAGAGAGACATTTCAGGGGAATGTGGAGATAATAAGGAAGAAAAACCAGGACCAGATAACACAATAAAAGTGCATTTTTCATTGAGTGGCTCTCTATGCAATTTGAGAGAAACAGCTTTTGCATTCAGAGGTGTCTACCTGACTGGTGATGTATTCCTTCCTACAAGTAGTGGACAACTCTTCCTGGGAGCTTAGAAAGTAAACAGAAAATGATTAATACATTATCTCCTCTCTTTGTGATTAACCTTTATTATTCTTCCTGGAAAACGGGTATGCCATATTTTAGTGAGGCAAAAAGTAATTCATTTCTAGAGTTCACTTCCATGAAATGAACCTTACCAAGATGTCCCTGGATGCTGCTAGAACTTCGTGACTCATTGAGAATCGCCCAGCCTCAGCAGCTGCAGGATGCTGGGTTGGGGTATGAGGTGTTTATCTCTCACTGAGTCTGTAAAACACCTCCTGTCACTTGCAAGGTGACACAGAGGTCCATTAGCTGCACTGGTGACTATCCTGGTTTCTTCTAGCCTTTTTTTCCCCACATTCCTAAAATACCAAAGCCCCAATATATTCAGAGGCACTTAGTCTAAAATATGATGTCTCTATTTCTCTTTGAATATTAAAACCTCACAACCAATGGTTTTAGTATGGACTGCTGAAGTCTGACTTATATATTTGCCCGTGTTGTCAGTAAAACCTTGTTGAAATTGGTGTGATTTGGTTCTATGCTGCTGCATCCATCAAACTTCATTACTCAGATGCATATCATATCATACTAAAAGCACTGGAAAATTACCAAGATGTAAAATTGCTTTCTACATGTACTAATTACTGTTATATGGCATTTTTCGGTTAAATGCCTCTATGATTTATGTCTCTGAAATTTAAGACTAAGGAGAGCGCTTTTGGGGAGTTTTAAAAAGACAGAAATTCAAAGTGGTGGAAATAAGACTACAATTTTAAATAATTTAGTGTGCATTATTTGCTATATGTGTATATCAGCTGTGGTTTTCACTTCATCTTGCTGGAATTTTGACTCGAGCTGTTTCTTTCAAATTAATAAATGATTTCTTCTTCACCTGCTCTTTTTATTTTGGATATATGGTAAAACAGAAAACAGTCTATGCTTTGAAGTATATTTTCATGCAGAAAAGGACTAATAAGGGTACAAATCCTGTTGAAAGTAAATAGGAGGTCACTGTCTCACTACTCTTTGCGGAGTTGAGAGTATTGCTTTTGTTATTACAATTTGTGATGTTTTATACTGAAATTGAACTGACAACTAATGTTTTTCTTGTTTTTAACCTCACGCTCTCTCCAACCTGTGGCATCTTGGCTCGGCAGCCCGGTCATCCCATAGTGCCTATTCCAGAAAACGAAACGCTCAGTTCTGAAGAGGTAATTCGTTGACATTGAGAGGGTATAAGCATTTGCATGCCAGCTGACATTGTCTTTTATTTGCATAGTGTGTGTAGTGTTGATGAACAAAAATATACTGAGCTGCCAGATCTGCTTTTGATATAGTGCATGGACTAGAAAAGCATTATTCTTTAAGACTAATGAAAAAAAGAAAAAAAAAAAAACAGTGTTGTTTTGGAAACTGTCCAGTTTGCCTGAATTTGAGGAAACACATTGTGCAAATGAGGCTTCTGGTGTTGTTTTCTGAAATATTGGGGATTTTAACAGACGGTGTTTGGTTATTATGTAGTCATCCTCATTTAAATCTCACATTCCACATTTTGCAGCCACTGGCATAGCTTCAATCTGAACTACTGAGCACAGCAACTACCAGAAGGACATAAGCTAATAAATTACTGAGAATTTCATAAAGGGGTATTGAAAAAACATAAAGCAACACACATTAAGAGAGCATTTGCCCAGTGTCAAAATTCAGTATCAGTTTTATTGGACTTAGAAGATAAATTGAATCTTCTTGAAGTCTCAATTCAGTAGCCAGTTTCCTACATCTTTTATTTCTCTAAGTCCTGGACCAAAAAGGTTACCATCTTAGATAATTCACTCAGTATGAGCTAAAGCTGTCTGCTACAGGTTACTAATTTTCTTTTGAGACCGAGCATATAAAAATTTAAAAAGTTCTACTAACACATACAAGTCTTTTTACTACCGGGTCATGAAGATTAATTTGAATTATTGTTTTAATGTTGAAATAAGAATATGTAACTCAATTAGCTATCATTTCCTCTGTGGTAGGCTTTGAAATGTAATAGAAAATCTTTAATTAAAATACTTTTTTTTTTCAGAATTATTTTAGAAATTCACATCAGAAGCTATATCTTACTACCAATAATAACAGGATGTGTTCTCTTACAATGGAAGAATGAATTTTTATTACTAACACCTCCATGTGCTATCAGACCCATTTTCATAATTATTTCACAAGTTTAGGTTTAAAAATGTAAGTTATGAGTTTAAAAATATAAATAAGAACTTTTATGAATGATAATTGCATTTCCATTAATACAGTTTATTTTTCATTTACCATTTTAAAATTATAGTCTAGTCTAGCTAAGAGCAACAAAATGAGTACATAAATAAGTGGGTGCTTGCCAATAATTACTACCAAATGCGTGACTTGTTTTGAAAAGTACTGAGGAAATTTTGAAAGACTTTCATGTGTTAGAGACAGAGGGCTTGCCTGGCTTTTTGCCTGGTTGGCAGACCCTGGCAGTTTATCCTTAAAATTCATCTAGGTTTCTGCTGAAAAATAAAAAAGGTTAGGAAGAAAAAAAGAAGGCGGACACCTGTTTTTCCAGTGGATCAGTGGACCACTGTTCTACACTAGGAGAATATGAGATATGAATATGACCTCTTATTTTCATGCACATCCCCAGTCTCTATGGGCAGAGAATCAATGACTCAGAGCTCTCCTCTTTATATGACTTTTTCCCCCAACCTTCTGCCCTCTTCCCTCATCCCTGCCTTTGACTTTTCTGCTTGTTTGCAGTGGTACAAACTGAAACACAGGAAAACCTGTGAAAACAGGGAAACACAGGAAAACCTGTGAAAACAGGAAAACACAGGAAGACGGACAAGAAAATCCGTCTTCCCTGTGGGGGTGGCTGAGTGCTGGAACAGGTTGCCCAGAGAGGTTATGGCATCTCCATCCTTGGAGATATTCAAAACTCAACTGGATGGGGTCCTGAGCAACCTCCTCAATGTGACCCTCCTTGAGTAGGGTTGTTGGACTAGGTGACCTCCAGCTGTCCCTTCCAACCTCAGCTATTCTGTGATCCTGTGTTTTTCCCTTCCATCTTCTCCTGAGAGCAACTCCTCAATTCACTTGAAAAGAATTGTTGTTAAAATAAGCACCAAGGTGCCTTCACAAAATAAATCAGAGAATTAACAACTCGTCATTGCTGAGATTCTCAGAGAAACAGTTTGTTATTCCCACTTTTTCATAAGGTTTCTGAAATACTACTGCAATAATGATATATCTAGCATATCACTTCTGTTGATGCAGCTGTTTTTCCTATTTTAATAATAAGATAGAGGAAAGTATATCCATGTTTCTCATCCTTCTTGGCAAACAATATATTGAGAGAGAAATTTGCAGGCCCAGTGGAAAGATTTTTATTATTATTATTTGCTCTTTTAAACAGCAAAACACAAAATTTCACCACAGAATTGTTAAGACTAGTTCAGATAATGGTGTGACTCATAATGAAATACCGAAGTCAGATGACCAGGCCTGAGATGTTATTTAAAATGTGCGGTTTTGTCATGTACCAGAATGATGATGGTGACAATGAAAGTTGGAAATTCTTCTGGTCAGAGGTCAATGTGGGCTGTTCCAAGGCAGCTTAAATGTATGGAGCTGGTTCTAAAAGTTTCTAATAATTTTAAACAATCTACTTGAACAAAATTCTGTGAACTCCTTTATTTAAAAGGTTAAATATACGCTGGCCAGCAGTAGAACAAGGAGTAATGGGTATAAATTGTAACACAGGAAGCTCCATCTCCATATGAGGAAGAACTTCTTTACTGTGAGGGTAACAGAGCCCTGGAACAGGCTGCCCAAAGAGGTTATGCAGTTTCCTTCTCTTGAGATTTTCCAAACCCACCTGGATGCCACCCTGTGCCACGTGCTCTAGGTGTCCCTGCTGGAGCAGGGGGATTGGACTAGATGATCTCTAGAGGTCCCTTCCAACCTCAACCATTTGTGATTCTGTGATGGTTGTAACATTTCTACTCAGAAATTCTATTTCTTGTAGGTAATTCTCTAATCTGTAGAGTAAACATCTCTGGTAAAATTATGGTTACATTTTTGAAAAGCAAAGACTATCAAGTGGAATGAAGACTTGGACTGTTACCAATTCTGTTCATATTTCCCTATATTAGAATCTTATTAGGTGATGGCTATTCATAACTTACTATAGTTTTAGCAAAATAGTGAGTTTAAAAAAAACAACAAAAAAGTGATGGTTAGCACTTACTACAGATGACAAAGCTGAGTATCTGTGATGGAAGCCCTGGGCCTTGTTATTAATACACACTCTATATCCAGATATGATATAGAGTATCTATATCTATATATTCTATACTCTCTATATTCTATATATCCATACCCAAGCATGGGTATTCTATGCTCCAATCTACGTGTGGACACAGAAGGTGAATTGTGTCAGGCTCAGCACAAGTTGGTCTCAAGAGATGACACATTTTTTGTTTTCTTTTTAACAAATCAGAAGGTGTCTTCCCCACTGAACTTCTCAAAATATTTGAATAGAATATGTTATCTCTTTTTCCTTGCTTTTTTAAAAAAATCTCATTTTTAGCATCATGACATGGTGGGAGGGGCATCACGGTGGCCCTGTTGAGACTCAAAATGACCTTCCGTGTCAAGGGAGTGACAAGGAAGGGACAAGCACATCTTGAGACCAACCCCTTTTGCTCATTTCCAGTAAAAAAGGAGTGAGCAAAGACATACATTTCCTGCGAGATCAGTTGCCAGAGAAAGAAGTATGTATCTCATACCCATACCAGGAAGATAAATTAGTCATTTTGGATATTGTGAACGGAGACTTTATTCAACATTCATTCAACATTTGACATTCCATCTTGGAGACAGGCAGGAGAACGGCATGGAGCCAGGAGCAACTCAAAACATGTGGGAAACATTTTTTTTTAGCTGTCCTAAAAGTGATATCTTCTTTGGAATGTTCTGTTGAGCTGTCTCTGAAGAACCACTACAACACCCTGTTTTCATTTTTATCTGGTTAGTTCTCCAAAACTGTGAGTTATGCTGTTTTCCCTGTTCAGCTCAGTGAAGAAAATGGAGTACAACTTCAAAAAGAACCTTTCAGGAACTTGTACTGTCCCTTGCTACTTAGGAACATATACTGATTGTAACAATTAATTACACTGAATTTACAGTTCATGGGTATACATAAACCTGCAAAGCTCCTCCTAATTTGGAGTATCCTTTATTAATAGCATGTTTGAATGCTGAACTGGCAAGGCCAACATTACTCTTTGTGGTATAATGAGAACTGTACTGAGAAACTGTCATACAGTTTCTGCCCTCACCAGTAGGTTCTTCTTTATCTATCTTTAGGTTCTTCTTTATCTGTGTATCTTTATCTTGTAAAATCATACTTAACTTATCCTCCCCTAGTGCTCTTCTCTCAGAGCTAAAGACTAAAATTTAGTATGATTAATACAATTCTAAAATAACAAATTCATAGGCAGATTCTCTGTGACAAGTATGCATTCCCTTGCCCTTTTTGAAGGAGGAAGAGAGAGGCAAGAAGGGAAGATGTTGCTAGTTTCTATATACTAATTTATATTTATATATACTTTATATATATATAAATATATATTTATATATATTGTTTTCCTCACAGAGAAACATTCAATATTCTGTTCTTCATGTAACTTCAGCTTCTTTCTATGATAGCACAAACCAAATGTATTTGCCACTTTCCTGCGATATCAGGGAAACAAAAATACATTTTTTTCCTTCACGTGAAACTCCTCTCTGCAATGACTTTGAGAAGATCTAGGTGATACTTCTCCAGTAAAACCAAATTGAGAGATACATCGGTAATTTCTGAAACTTATTGTCTTTCTTTAAAATAAACCTCATACTTGCCATGGTTATGGTGTGCAAATGACATTATAATTACTCCTGGATCTGTACTGAGTCAGGATGTTTAGAGAAAATATAGAGCATGTGTCCCTGTAGAGTCACAGAAAGCTCTTGCATGCAGATGCTAAGTGTATGTGCTCACTGCCTTTATTCATATATAACTTGCAAAGTCCCAAGTCTATTGTACAATTCCTTTAGGTTCACATAATCTTTTGCTGCATCTATTACTCTGTCTTATCTGTTTGTTATTCCTAAAAGATCTGCAATAATTATTTGAGTCCTGGCATCTTTTCATGGAAGG